TGTGTCCAGTTGGAATCTCCCCAGGAGGAGCTTGTGCCCATGACCCCGTCTTTTCCATCTGACTCCTTGTAAATAGGGAGCCTCCATCTTCTTGGTACCACCCTTTAAGACTGGAACATAAGGTCTCCCCAAAGCCTTCTCTTCTCCAGGCTGAACAAACCCAGTTCTCTCAGCCTCCCCTCACATGGCAGGTCCTCCAGTCCTCTGATCACCCTCGTGGCCCCTCTCTGGACCCTCTCCAGCATGTCACATCCTTTTTGTAGAGCAGGGACCAGAACTGGACACAATGTGCTGAGGAAATGTACTTATGCACTCTAATCAGATCACTTCACAAGTTTCTAAGTAATTAGAGTTCATAAAATCATAGAATCATTGAATGGTTTGGGTGCAAAAGGGCCTTTAAAGACCATCCAGTCCAACCCCTGGCAGCGAGCAGGGACATCTTAACCAGACCAGGTTGCTCAGAGCCCCATCCAATCTGCCCTTGAATGTTTCCAGGGATGAGGCATCTCCCACCTCTCTGGGCAACCTGGGCCAGTGTCTCACCACCCTCAGTGTAAAAATTTTCTTCCTTAAATCTAGCCTGAATCTGCCCTCTTTTAGTTTCAATCCATTAAGACCAGTTAAATTCCATTACCCCATGTCTGATTACAAGTTTTGCATCTCTCATATTTATTCCAATCTTGAAATTATTTTTATGAACCTCTTGTACATTTTTTTTTCCTCTCCTCTGTTCCCTTCAAGCCTTGAAACAAAGAGCTGTGCCACCAGGAGCCTTGGTGCTGTCTCACATCAACAACATCTGTTCCCCGCAGACTCCCTGCCTGTGCAGACCTGTCACAGCATGTCTCCAATGGCAAACTTTACAGGGCTAGGAAAGCTCTCTATATTTTAGTGTCTAAAGTAGTGAGTCCTAGACAAATTAAGCTGCTTGTGCATTAATACAGCCAGTTTCTTTCCAGAATTACCTATTTTTAAAAATTCTTTTTTAAAAAACAGTCCTCTTTGGAGGAGTAATGCCTTCATTTTCCCCAAGCCTGTAAGTTTGCACCTGATTGCTCTAAGACAAAACCTGTTTGAACAGCCTTACTCTGCTACCCACTCTTCTCTATTGTTAACCTGTCTTTATGGCTGCTTTTTGCAGTATTCATTTTTCACATCATCTGCAGATTTCATAATCAGATTTTATCAGTAGATATCAGTAGATTGCTTCCAAATCATCCATTAAGCATCAAACAACACTGGCTGGAGAACTGTCCCCCCAGGACCTTAGTAGAAATACCCAAATCTAATTGGCTCTTATTAGATTTGCCAACCAGATCTTAACTCACATGATGCATTTGCTGCTGTATAACTTTCTGCTTAATAATTAAAGCATAACATTAAATCAAATGGATTTTTGGCCTGCAATAGCTGTCTGATCATCTTTAAGTCAACATGTAACTTCCAAGTGTTACTTGCTGTACAACCACCTTGACAAGTATTAGTTATAGAGTAACGCAAACTACACCAAATTTCTTATCAGTGAACGTGTCTGGTTTCAGTTGCTTACAGTCTAATTTTAGGCATCTGTAAAGATCAATTAACACTCTCCTTGTTTAGTGCAACATTAAGACTGGAACATAAGGTCTCCCCAAAGCCTTCTCTTCTCCAGGCTGAACAAACCCAGTTCTCTCAGCCTCCCCTCACATGGCAGGTCCTCCAGTCCTCTGATCACCCTCGTGGCCCCTCTCTGGACCCTCTCCAGCATGTCACATCCTTTTTGTAGAGCAGGGACCAGAACTGGACACAATGTGCTGAGGAAATGTACTTATGCACTCTAATCAGATCACTTCACAAGTTTCTAAGTAATTAGAGTTCATAAAATCATAGAATCATTGAATGGTTTGGGTGCAAAAGGGCCTTTAAAGACCATCCAGTCCAACCCCTGGCAGCGAGCAGGGACATCTTAACCAGACCAGGTTGCTCAGAGCCCCATCCAATCTGCCCTTGAATGTTTCCAGGGATGAGGCATCTCCCACCTCTCTGGGCAACCTGGGCCAGTGTCTCACCACCCTCAGTGTAAAAATTTTCTTCCTTAAATCTAGCCTGAATCTGCCCTCTTTTAGTTTCAATCCATTAAGACCAGTTAAATTCCATTACCCCATGTCTGATTACAAGTTTTGCATCTCTCATATTTATTCCAATCTTGAAATTATTTTTATGAACCTCTTGTACATTTTTTTTTCCTCTCCTCTGTTCCCTTCAAGCCTTGAAACAAAGAGCTGTGCCACCAGGAGCCTTGGTGCTGTCTCACATCAACAACATCTGTTCCCCGCAGACTCCCTGCCTGTGCAGACCTGTCACAGCATGTCTCCAATGGCAAACTTTACAGGGCTAGGAAAGCTCTCTATATTTTAGTGTCTAAAGTAGTGAGTCCTAGACAAATTAAGCTGCTTGTGCATTAATACAGCCAGTTTCTTTCCAGAATTACCTATTTTTAAAAATTCTTTTTTAAAAAACAGTCCTCTTTGGAGGAGTAATGCCTTCATTTTCCCCAAGCCTGTAAGTTTGCACCTAATTGCTCTAAGACAAAACCTGTTTGAACAGCCTTACTCTGCTACCCACTCTTCTCTATTGTTAACCTGTCTTTATGGCTGCTTTTTGCAGTATTCATTTTTCACATCATCTGCAGATTTCATAATCAGATTTTATCAGTAGATATCAGTAGATTGCTTCCAAATCATCCATTAAGCATCAAACAACACTGGCTGGAGAACTGTCCCCCCAGGACCTTAGTAGAAATACCCAAATCTAATAATTGGCTCTTATTAGATTTGCCAACCAGATCTTAACTCACATGATGCATTTGCTGCTGTATAACTTTCTGCTTAATAATTAAAGCATAACATTAAATCAAATGGATTTTTGGCCTGCAATAGCTGTCTGATCATCTTTAAGTCAACATGTAACTTTCAAGTGTTACTTGCTGTACAACCACCTTGACAAGTATTAGTTATAGAGTAACGCAAACTACACCAAATTTCTTATCAGTGAACGTGTCTGGTTTCAGTTGCTTACAGTCTAATTTTAGGCATCTGTAAAGATCAATTAACACTCTCCTTGTTTAGTGCAACAATGGATCAATTCACTCAACATTTAATGTGCTTTTTTTTCTTTCCTCTTTGTAGCATTTGCCTTATTCTTTTTTTAAGCTTATTACCCCCAGCCTATTCCAGGTAAGCATAACTGTGCAGGTCAATCTCTCTGTCTGTAAGACACAAGTTGCTCCTTTCGTACAGCTGAATCACACCTGGGAACACAGTTTTGTTCAGTCAACCCAAATCTTCAGCTTATGGACTCAGCAATTTCCTGGCTGTATTTCCTACTTTTGCTTTCCCACAGAGCTGGATTTTTTAAAAAAATAATAAATAAATCAGATTCTAGCTTCCCGCTGTTTTCTCCTGAGATACCAAACGCTCTGAAGAGTTTCAGGGCCTGTGCAGTGTTGCAGCATTGTCTTACGTGCACTGACACAGGCAGTGAGTTACCAAACAAGAATCCCTTCCTATTTTTTGGTTTACATCTCTCTTTTGTTTAAATGACACTCCATTAAATCTCACTATCATGTTTCCCATAATCCACTTTCTTCTCTAACAAAGAGTCACTAATAATGGCAGCTTGCTTGCCCTTCTCTTGTTTTGCATCAGATACCCTCAGCTGCTCCATCCCTGCAGCTTTCAGTTCCATTACCACAGAGACAGGTTTCCTGACATTAATTTATGGCATCTTTTCAGTGCTGTCACAACCCAGGTAGGGCAACCCAGGGAGGTTCAGATCAGACCCCTGGCTTTCTAAACTCCTTCTCAGAGAGCAGCCTCGAGCAGCTGGATCCAGCCTTAGTCTCAGGCCCGGCCCATCCAGGGAGAGTGATTAAAATGTGGTGGTTTGAGGAATTGCTTGTCTGTTCAAGACCCCTTGATAGGATCAAGTTGAAACAATCCTCAAGGTCTGTATTTGAATATTAGGTTTAATTCCTTCCTATAGAAGGAATACTGACAGCTCAATTATTGTCTCAGGCTGTGCAATCATAAAGGCTGATTATTTAGATCACAAAAAACACAATACAGGTATGTTGAAGCTGCACAGCCTGAGAAAAATCATGGTTAGGCCTTGTGTTACTGAATGATTTTAGGAGGGAAAAGTGAGAAAGAAGAGTTAGAGAGAATCCCCAGTGCTGGGCCAGGCAGTGAGGAGAGTTGGTGTCAGTGGGGCTCCCCAAGACCACCAGCACAGCCCCTCCTTTCACAGGCCTGTTTCACTTAAACAATTGTTTTGCACCAATGAGTAATGGTGGTCGAGACATCCCACCAACTGAGCAGCTGGCATGGACCTCCACCCCTCTGCTTCTCACTGTTCTCTCTGTGCAGGCCCAGACAGGAGCACAACCAAGTGTGGTGCACCTGAGGAACGTTCTGTCCCTCAGAACAGTTGCACAGGCTCACTACTACAGTAAGTGCAGGACTTACTAGGTAATCCCATGCCAGCTGTGCCATCTGCCCACCTGGAATGAGAAGTGGCAGATCTGTTATTTTCAGGGATCTGCAGAACTGCACAGTTGTTCTTGGGGAACTTCAGACAGTTCCTGGTTGCTCTCTAGGCACACAGCACCCCTGCTTCACAGCATGGGTGAAGGGAGTTTGGTGCATGTCAAGGGGAATTTTCTGTCCCTTCATCTTCCCAGATGACACAAAATGGATGTTCTGCAGCTGTGGAGGAGCCAAATGCAGGGAAGTGAAAGTGCATTGAATGGCTTTGTCCAGCAGCAAACTGACCCAGCTGTGTTTATGGCCCCTGAGAAACAAATGCATAAAGGACACATGCAGGAGGCTGCAGCAGCGTGGGGAGAGCAGAGCCAAGGTGACTGTCCCAGCACACGACTCATGCTCGCTCTGTGCTTGTTCTACAACCCTCATCCCAGGTGCTCCAAAGTTTACAAGCAACCACATCACTTTGCTTCAAAAGAAAGTTTTATTTATTTAAAAAAACAAACAAACGAACAACCCCACAAGAACAGTCTTTCTCCATAGCCCATGCCTGTTCCTCAGAGCAGGGCTGGGAAAGTCTTCCTCCTCCCTTGACCTCACATGCCCTTCGCCCATGGCAAGGCTGGGAAGGGGACGGAAAGTGCCAAGTGTTAAGGTGCTGAGAAGCTCTTGCTGTTTCCAGTCTCAAGTGCTGTTGGCCTGCTCCTGCTCAAAGAGGGCCATGGCCAGGTGCGAGCGGGAGGCCAGGCCCTCCAGGTTGCTGAGCACACAGCGGTGGTAGAGCTCCTCGCTGAGCCGGGGGTTGCAGCTCCTCAGGGCGTATTTCTGCACCAGCCCTGGCTCCACAGCCCTGAAGAGATGCAGGCCTGAGTAGTGCAGGAAGACATCAAACACCTCCAGGCTCTCCAGCACCTCATCTCGGTCCAAGATCTCAGCTGCCAGCTTGGTGCGTGCTGCCATGTAGTCAGAGTTGTAGAAGCAGGCCTCAGCAAAGGAGTGCCTGTCGAAGTGCCCATCCCTCAGTAAGTCAGTGCTGGAGGAGGCAGTCTGCTCCCCACGGTACACCAGGGCAGGGTTGAACTCCTGGAAGTGCACCGGGAAGAAGACCTGCCAGTTGCTGATGGTGTTCATGCGGCAGCGGTTCAGGAACTCCATGTTGATTTCTGTCCAGACACTGGCCAAGAAGAAGAGCGTATCCACCGGGTGCTTCTTTGAGACTATATCCATGAGCTTCACCTGTGATGGCACCTCAGTTTTAACACTAATCCAGGGAATTTTAACCTCTGCATAGCGTTTCTCCAGCTCTCCTACCATGGCTTTGACTCCAGCAAAAACATCCACCTGACTGACTCGCTGGGCATCATAGGGATGGTAGATGAAAAGCAGAGTCAGCAAAGCATTATCATGTGTGTCCAGTGTGTTCATAGCAAACATATCCAAAAAGTTTGCCACAAAGTCCAGATCCTGCACTGTCAAGGGAAGCACCAGCTGCACCCGTGTGGCCTCTGTCACATAGGGCATGGGAATAATCTCCACCTTGCTTAGGGGCCGCACCAAGCTGACTCGTTTTGCCAGGAGGTGGCTGTGTCCCTTCTGGGTGACAGCCTCCAGCAGCAGGTCCAGCGTGTACTCCATGCCCCGTGTGGGGTCGAAGCGCCGGTAGCCGTTGAGCAGCTGCCGCTTGCTGAAGCGCAGCAGGGGCTGCTGCTGCTGGTTGAGTTGCTCCACAGCCCACTCCATGATCTCACTCACGTCTGCTTTGCTGGCTCCAGAGAGCTCACACTTGGGGGAGCCATCAGGACAGGAGAAGAGATGCTGCTCAGTGAAGTAGTCCCAGCTGATCACCTCAAAACGTGACTTTGGAAGAAACGGGGCATTAATGCCCACGGGCCAGGTCAAGCCTGCCTCGCCTGCAGGGGTCAGGGCCGTCAGGTTCCTGATCTGCATCTGTGCAAAGACAGAACACATTCTGATCCCTGCCACCTTCCCAAAGAGGCTCCAGTCCTTCTTCCACCCAGGCCTGCTTAGAGTTGCATCTTGGTAGCACCACCCCAGCAGTTTGGTAACTTGGTGACAGAACTGCTCTGAGATGTAGGCTCAGCACCCATGTCTGGCTCATGGTCACCCACAGACAGAGGGAATTACCTTCCTTTGTGTGCTGAAGACAAGGAAATACATTTGGCCAAGGAGTTTCTGCAGATATCCCTCACCACATACCTGTAGGTCCTGGATCTCCTGGTAGGCTTTGTCCAGCTGGATCCTGCTGAAGTGCTTGTGCAGCCGGTACATCAGGGTCATGTCAGGAACAGGGTGCACAGCCAGAGCTGCCTGGAACTCCTCCTGCTCCTCCTTCTCTGGCTCAGTGTTTTTGGACAGTTCATAGGTGTGATAATGCTGGCCCTGAAGCAGACAGGATCCAGAAAGACTGGCATGGAACTCATGTTCACAGAGAAGCCTTCCCTCACCCCAGACATGCATGTGTTCCTCCTTCTATGCTGACTGCAGTACCCAGAGACAAAAACATAAGACTTACCCCTCCAACCACCCCACACATGCCTGCTTGCTTCCTGGTACTAATGTGCCCTTCATCCAACCTCCAAACATCGGTAGATCAGCATCTGCTAGTAGGCCAAAAACTAAATACTGGATGTGCTCTCTGCTTCATGTCTCAGCTTTGATTCTGGGCCACAACACACAGCCCTGCTCGCCCCTGACTCCCAGCGGAGGTTACAGAAAAGCCCCTTGCAGTGCAGCAGGGAACTCGCAGGCTCAGCTGACATAAAACCCCGCGCAGGGAGCGGTACCTGGAGCTCGGAGACGCAGGAGATGCCGAGGAAGTCGATGATGCAGCGCCCCAGCCACTCGTCGGGCCGCACGCTGAGGATCTCGTTGCGGCAGCTGTCCAGGTGGGGGCGCAGCCTGAGGAGCAGGCTCCGCGACAGCAGGTACCCGAAGCCGCCGTGGCAGTACCGCGCCTGCTCGTCCCCACCGATGAACTCCTCGGCCCGGCCCAGGTAGACATCCTGGTTGATGCTCAGGTGCGTCACCAGGGCCTTCACCTGCTCGGCCTGGGTGTACGTGTCGTCCTGCATGATGTAGAACCAGTCGTAGTCGGAGCCGAAGTGCTGGTGGATGTAGTGCACGGTCTGGTACATCAGCCAGATGGGCCGCTCGTCGCCGTGGGCCACCAGCGCCATCCCGTGGGGCACCTTGGGGCCGCGCAGCCCCGTGAAGTAGAGCAGCCGCGGGAAGTGCTGGGACACCGTCCTGTTCACCGCCACCGCCAGCGTGCCCAGCGTGGCCCGCGAGGTCAGCACGGCCACAAACAGCCGCTCGTGGAAGCCCAGCTCCGTCTGGATGTAGCGAGTCCTGTAAGGGAAGGACACACCCATGGCAGAAACCAACGGATGTGGTATAAGACTTCATCTGCTGGCTCTGCCAGGGTTGAACAGTTACAGAATCATAGAATGATTTGACCCGGAAGGGACCTCAGAGATCATCTAGTTCCAATGCCCGTGCTTGGGCAGGGACACCTCCCACTAGGCCAGGTTATTCCAAGTCCCATCCAACCTGCCCTTGAAGACTTCCAGGGATGGAGCTTCTACAACTCCCCTTGGCAAATCATGCCAGTGTCTCACCACCCTCACACTACAGAATTTTCTCTTAATGACTAACCAAAATCTTCCCTCCTCCAGTTTTAATCCATTCCCCCTTGTCCTCTCACTACAAGCCCTTGTCCCAGGTCCCTCCCCAGCTTTCCTGGAGCCCCTTCAAGCACTGGAAGGTGCTCTAAGGTCTTCCAGGAGCTTCTCTTCTCCAGGCTGAACACCCCAACTCTTCCAGCCTGGCTCCAGAGCAGAGCTGCTCCAGCCCTCCCAGCATCTCCGGGACCTCCTCTGAACTTTCTCCTGGACTTCCATGTACTCCTTATGTTGGGGACCCCAGAGCTGTTCCCAGCCCTGTGGGGGGGTCTCAGCAGAACAGAGGGGACAATCCCCTCCCTGGCCCTGCTGGTCACACTGCAGGCGACACAGCCCAGGACACGGGTGGTTTCTGGGCTCCAGCACATGGTGCTGGCCCATGTTGAGCTTCTCATTCACCATCACCCCCAAGTTCTTTCTCCTCAGGGCTGCTTTTGATCCATTCTCCACCCAGCCTATATCTGGGCCTGGGATTGTCCCAACCCAGGTGCAGACCTTGCACTTGGTCTTGCTGAACTTCATGCAGTTTGCACCTGCCCACTTCTCAAGCCTGTCAAGGTGGAGCTTTAAGAGGAGGCCCTCTAGTGAAAAATCTCACTTTGTAAACACTTGCTTCCTGCAAGTAAACTACAGTCTCACATCACTTGTCTGAGCTAAGAAACTGTGCTAGTGCAAGTCAAAAAAAAACACAACAAAAATACAGAGATAACCACTTGCAAGTTACATGTGCTATTATTAATTGCTCAAAGTTTTCCTAATGAAGAGACTGGTTTAAAAAGCTTTTGAGAATAACTTAACATTTCCTATTAGACGTGACTAATAGTCTCAAACTTCTTAGGAATTTTTCTTGCATTTTTAAAAAATGAGTTTCTTGGACACTTCTCTTGCACTAAACCCCTTAAGGTAACAATCCCAGCCCTTGCCTTGTCGCACCAGGTTGTCACTGCAGAACGCATCTCAAGCGCCAGACTGCACCTCGAACCCCTCAGCTCGCTGGGAGATTCAGAACCCAAGCACCCCCGCCCTGCCATCACCCTGTCCGAGGAACGCCCGGACAAGAGCGCGGGTTTTACCTGAGCACTTTCTTGTAAGGCTTGCTGGGGTCTCTGTAGTACGGCACGATGCGAGGCCTGAAGTCCTCGTGGCCCGGGCCCGACTCCCCCTCCGCTGCCTCCGGCCGCGCCCCGCCGGGGGGGCCCGCGGGGG